GTTGCCTCCCACACTCAGCCATCTGGGGCCATGAACAAACCTGCAACCTTGGCATGCCCTTGAATGAGAATGGGTGTGTGGGCCGATGCTCTATCAGTGAGCCACACCAGCCAGAGCTATTTCTTCTTCTTAAATGTGAAGGAAAAGAAGGGAATTCCAGGTTATAGTAAATTCAATTTAATTAGGTTTTACTTTTCTACAGTTTCCAACATTTCTCCCCAATAAAAATAAACAACATAAATTGAGGCCATGAATTTCAGGCAGGAGTGAGCAATTTCTACAACTTTCTGAACCTCGGTTATGTTCATACTAGAGGCCCATTGCATTCCTGCAATAGGCCTTCCTTTCTCTGGCTGCTGGCACCGGTTTTTCTCCGGCATGCGGGATCCAGGCCTTCAGTCTTTGCTCCAGGCAGAGTGCAGCTCCTGTAGCTCCCTCCTCCACCACCCCCACCCTCCCCTTCATAGCAGGCATCCCGCCCTGCTCAGCCACTCTATGTGCTTGCATGTGTGCTGCCCAGAGGCCCAGAGTGGCTAAGGGTGGGGCCACCACCATCTTTTATTGGGTTCATTTGTATACTCACTCCTGATTGGCTGGTGGGTGTAGCAAAGTGACTGTCAATTTGCATGTTTCTCTTTTATTAATGTAGATATTGCCCTAGCCTTGTTTCCTCAAAGTGAAGGCTTATGACCTCTAAAAGAAGCCTAAATTATTGCTCTTCTTATTGCTCTCATTTAGCTGAAGCCTCCATTCACCTCCCTGCCCTGGAAGTACTCAACCTTTCTTGGAATAAGTGTGTTGGTGGCAACCTGAAGCTGCTTCTGGAAACACTGAAGCTTTCCACATCCCTTCAAGTGCTGAGGCTGAGCAGCTGTTCCCTGGTGACCGAGGACGTGGCTCTCCTGGGTTTGTATTTCTGGGTTCTGAAGCAGTCCAGGCAGGCAGAGCCCAGCATTCCCACCCAGCAAATGCAGGGGGAAGAGGGGGGAGGTGCAGAAGGCAGCGAGGCCTGGGGTCCTCTTTGCAGCTTCTCTTCTCCTGACACCTGCTCAGGAATGAACTGCTTAAAACAAATAAGGGAGATTCGAAAACCAAAAGAAACAGTGGAGGGGAATTTAGTATTTGGGATCTGAGGAACTGGTAACTCAGGAAGATAGACATAGAAGTGGTGGTGGGAGGTTCCTGCCAGGCGACTAGCTCCACATCTTGCCATACTTGAGCACCTTGGTGTTCTTAACAAGCTCCGTGTTAACTGAACTTGAGTCATCTGCATTCTGCCTTTACAAATGTTGCCCTAGCCACATGGTACCAGCGCTATGACTTAATTTTTTCTTTATGTTGACTCTTTAACTTAAATGCTTTTATTTAAACAGGAAAGTGATCATAATAACTGAAATACAGGTATCATTTCTCACTGGTAGACGTCATTAGACTGTTGCCAGCTGAAGTAGGGGACTAGATGAGACATGTTAAGTGTAATGAACATAACTGTTCAGGCTGAATGATGGGGGCACGGGTTCACTCTCCTGTCAACTTTTTGTATGTTTCAAAAAATTTTCTCCATAATAGGAAATATTGTGAAGAGAAAAAGCATGCACATTGTCTTACTTAGGCCTTGCGAATATGCTGAGTAATAGGCTGAAAGGCTGAAAGAAAGAACACATATGGACATCTAGGGACTGAGGGCAGTTGTTGAGTGTATGGACTGCTAACTTCTCAAGGGCACTCTGGAATCAAACTCGTCGCAAGTGAAAGTAATGGGAATGGAGTATCCGGCTGAGTCTGGAAGACATAACGTATAAGAAATGATTGAAAAACCAAGGCACGTTTAGTCCTAACGGAGGAAAATTTGAGGGAACTTGACTGTTGTCCAACACAGCAGGGCTAACACAAGGAAGGAGCTGGGGTTTCAGGCAGGCTAAGGCAGGCAATGGAGGAATCACCAGGAGGTAGACCAGGGTCCCAAAGGAAGCGTTTCCTCCTGCTGAGAACTGCTCCATCCTCTTGGGACGACCTGAAAGGGTGCTGCAGGCAGACTCGGGCTGGTCACCATAGAGAAGCTGGGAAAAGGATCCTTCACCAATCATTGATCTGAGGTTGAATCCTCAAGGAGACCTCCAAGGTCCTTTATAACTCCAAGATTTTACACCACTCATTTCATCTCTATAATCCATTTAGACTTTTGACTAAAAAGGAAAGCATGTACTATTAGCCTTGGGTGTCTCCCCTACCTTTTCTTACAGAAGTGTGTTATTTTCTCTTAGCTTCATCATTATTATTTATTAAGCGTCTTTGTAGGTTGTACTGTGATGCGTGCTACTCAAAGAAAAATGGTTCTGTGATTAGATATCTCTCAGTTGGATTAGAAATTATCCAGGTATATTTTGCACATGGGAAGTGCTCGGTTAAATAATGGTTGACTGAAGAATGAATGAGAAGTGAACAACTAAATAGTATTAAACAGCAAGAAGATTATTTACTAATAGTCCTCAGTTCAAGCCAATGATCCATTGTTCCTCACATTTAATTAGAGAAAGTTTGCAGGAAGTGCTGGGACCTCAGTGAAGTAAAGAGCAGGAATTTGACTATACATATTCTTTGGGTAGGGATGTGGAAAAAGAAAAAAATCAATTTTTCATGTACTTGGGATGCACAGAGTGGAAATTTGTTACTAAAGTAATTTCAGATGCTCTAAATAAAATAGCTAGCTAATAAAAAATCATTACTAATGATCAATCTTGTCATTACCAGTCTGGAGCTATCGCATTGTGTTATTGGAAGTAGGAAACAACCACGACAGAAAATATTCTTGATTTTTGGCAATTAAAGTGATTTTGTTTTTCAGCATCGGTAATACACACAGGTCATCTGACCAGGCTGCGGAAGCTCGACCTGAGCTATAATGACAGCATCTGTGATGCAGGATGGGCCATCTTCTGCCAAAACGTGTGGCTCCTCAAAGAGTTAACGGAGCTGGATATTAGCCTTCGGCCATCAACTTTTCGGGATTGTGGACAATGGTTTAGACACTTGTTATGTGCTGTGACCAGACTTCCGGAGATCACTGAAATAGGAATGAAAAGATGGATCCTCCCACCATCACTGGAGGAAGAACTAAAATGTTTGGACCAAGATCGCAGCAGCAGCATTCACTTGGACCATGGCGGGTGTCAGTAAACTGGTTTCCCAAGGTCACATATATGATTCCATGTATATAACATTCTTGAAATAACAAAGTTATACAGAGAACAGCTCAGGGATTGAGAGAGAGGTAGGTAGTAGATGTGACTAAAAGGAATAATACAGTAAAGACCTGTGGTGATGAAACAATTTTATATCTTGATTGTGGTGGTGGCTACATGAAGCTACATGAGACAAAACTGCATTGACCCCCACACACAGATACACACAAATGAGTGTATGTGTAACTGATGGAATCTGAATAAGTTCTCTTGATGGTACCAATGTAGATTTTCTGATTTTGTCATTGTATTCTAGTTATGCAAGATGCCAACACTAAGGGAGGGTAAAGAGTACATGGGCCTCTCTGTACATTTCTTTGGAGTTTCCTATCCTAAATAATAAATGCCTAATATGCTAAATTTCCATTTGTCCGGTCAATCAATCAAAGCACAATATATGATAGGCTATGGCAGTTCAACTACTTGCTATGCTGTGCACTGACCACCAGGGGGCAGACTTTCCAACTGGTAGGTCAGCTTGCTGCTGGGGTCTGGCTGATCAGGACTGAGCAAGACCAGCCACCCTGGAATCCCCCCTGCAATCCTTTACTGGCTGGTCAACTTCCCATGTCCCTCCCAAGCCCCAATCAGGAACCAGTGGAGTCCCTGGTCTTGTAATACAGGCTGGGGAACACCGCTCCCCACCCCCCCAGCCCCAAGTGCACAAATTTCATGCACAGGCCTCTAGTGAATATGTAATTATTTCAAAACTAAAAGTTTGTCTTTTATTAACTTTTGGTCAAGAATATGTTTGTATATTTTCAGGAAACAACTCTGAGACCATGTGGATTCTGGCAACAGAGAGGAATTGACAGGAATACTCCAACCATGAAGACAGAAGAGAAGCAGTCCAGAGATGGGAGTTATTGACGCCGCCTTGCCATAATAACAGTCAGCAGCTGTGTATCACTGCAGGTTGCCCAGGACCAAACCAGAGAAGGTTGGATCTTCATTACCACCATTTGCCCACCAATGATAACTGAAGTATCATTGCTGACATGTACACATAAGGAACTGTTTGACATTGAAACTGGGTCTCCAAAGAACTGGCAGCCCAGAAAGAAACTCACTACAGACTGATTCATATGCTTTTCAGCATAACCATTACTGCTTGTCTCATTTTTTATTCTTATAAGTATATTTCCAGTAGGACATGATCTCACTCATCTAGGGGAAGTGGTGAACAACATAGACTGATGAACAAGAACAGACCCAGAGATAAGGAGCCATGGGTCAGACTGTTCAAAGGGAGAGTGGGGATAAAAGGGAGAGATCAACCAAAGGACTTATGTGCATACATATGAGCCTAACCAGTGATCAAAGACAATAGGTAGGTGGGGACATGAGTGGAGGGGGGGGCTCGAATGCAGGGTTGAGGACAAATATGTGATACCTTAATCAATAAAGACATTTAAAAAAAATAGATGATTCAAACACACACACACACAAAAATAACCAAAAGTTTGTTACAGAATACTTTAACGAACCTCCATGTAATTATCAGATATTTCTGCAATTATCAGCTTATGTCCAATCTTGTTTCATTTGGATCCCCCACACTTACCTGATATAATATTGAAGCAATTCCTGGGTTTCATATCATTTTCTCATAAATATTTCAGTGAAAGTAAGAATATTTACTTTTACACATAACCATAATTTAATGAATAATTTTAGTGTGGTGGGCATCTAATTCCTATATATTTTTGTCTTCTTAATGCATCAGGGTTCATTACCTCAAGTCATCAATATATGAAATTATTTCTTCTTTTCCTTTACAGCTTTTCCTTTTGCACCCTTCTTTCCTGACTTAGATTTTAGAGAATTCTTTCCTTTCTTTTTCATTTTTAATAGTTCAGAAAATTTCCCAATTCCTCTCCGTACCATGATTCCACGCCACCAGGACTGAATCTGAAAACAGATAAACCCAAACGGTATTAGCTGGTATCACTGGGGATGGTTACAACTCTTTGTTCTGACATGTAGGTTTTAAAGATGTGGAGAATGGAATGTGATGAGAACTCTAAGCCATATTATCTCTCTTTCTCAGTTGGCCAGTCATCCAGGAATTTTTTTAAAGTATTGGGTGCTTTTATGCATCAAGCCCTGTTCCAAACCTTTGGGAAACAGCAGTTAAATACTATTGTCACTGGCTTTGTGGAGCTCACGTTCCAGTGAAGGAAGGAGACAATAAACAATAAACACGTCCGATATAACAAAAAGGTAATATGCAAATCAACCATCACACCATCACAAGATGGCAGTGCCCACAGCGGGTCAGGGCTGGCTGCTCCACATGCCTGCAGCCAGAGTCCCCTCAGGCCTGCTGGGGGCCTCAAGTCCTCCTGCACCCCCCACTGACTGAGGCTCAGGCAAGCAGGGCCGGCCAAGGCACAGGTAAGCCTTGGATGGAGGCACAGGTAACGAGGGCCAGCCGAGGCTGCACTGCCGGCAGTGACGGCAGCAGAGATCTGATGTGGGTGTCACCTTTCCCTGATCATCGGGTCCTCTCCCACCGCTGAGGGCTCCCGGACTGTGACAGGGGCAGGCTAGGGTGAAGGACCCTTCCCATCCAGTGCATGGATTTCCATGCACCGGGCCTCTAGTAAGTGTATAATTAGATGGTGTTTGGTGGCCTGGAGATGGCAGTGCACAGTAAGGGGCCTCGGGCATGCCTCTCCCCTGCCTTCCTTCTTGTTACTTGTCTTCCTGTGCCCCTGCCTACCTACAGCCAGCACACCTTGTTGCCTCACTCAATCCTATTCCCTCGCACCTACTCAGACTCATCCCTCCTCCAGAAGTAAACTCTTTGAACCTTTAGCATCCAGAACCAGAACTGTGAGAAAACACATTTCTGTTGTCTATGGTCTGTTGTTCTGGTAACCTGAGGCAATCATTTTTCCAGTGAAGCCTACCATGACTATCTCATTTAAATTGAAATTCCACAACACACACACATACAACTTCTGGAATCTCAGTTCCCCCTAGCTTGAACTTTTTTTCCAACACCACGCATCACTTTCTAACACAGTATACCATTTTATATTATGTATTCTTTTTTTTAAAAATATATTTTATTGATTTTTTACAGAGAGGAAGGGAGAGAGATAGAGAGTTAGAAACGTCAATGAGAGAGAAACATCGACCAGCTGCCTCTTGCACACCCCCTACCGGGGATGTGCCCGCAACCAACATACATGCCCTTGATTGGAATTGAACCTGGGACCTTTCAGTCTGCAGACTGACGCTCTACCACACTGAGCCAAACCGGTTTCGGCTTATATTATATATTCTTGTTTTTATTCCCATCACACTAGACTTTAAGCAATATGAGGAGATTTATGTTTTGTTCGAATTGATGTATTTCCAGTGCCTAGAACAATGCCTGGCACATAGTAGAAGCTCAATAAATATTTGTTGGACGAATGAAAAAGTTAGGTGGGAGTATGCTGTTTTATATGAGGTGGACTAAGGACAGTTATGAGGATATCTGAGTAGAGACTCAACTAAGTGAAAGCAGAGTTTTGTCCGTACCAGGGGAATTATCTCTGGGCAGAAAGTGTAAAGCTCCTGAGGCAGAAGCATGGTTGGACCTTAGGAACATACCAAGGATCCCGTTAGTGACTCAAGTAAAGTAAAAAAGGGAAAGATGAGATGGGGAGTGAAAGCAGCAGATCAGTTAGTTAGGGTGGTGATTTCCCAGGGGACAGTACTGCCCTCTAGAAGCATTCTGAAAATGTGCAAGGCTTTTAGCTGTCAAGGTCTTCAATTGTGTGACATGCACCCTGGTCCACAAAGATTTTCCAAGGGTGTGCAGGCTTGGACAGTTTGGAAGCAATCCGTTTCCAAAATTTCAACTTCCACGCGTTCCCTTTTCTAAAATGTACCTGCCTAGAAACACAGCTGCCCCTCTGGCACCCCTCTCATCCACTGAATCTGACTAGAGTGTGCTGCCCTGGACTTCAGAAACCTCTGGGACACATAATAATAATAATAATAATAATAATAATAATAATAATAATAATGGCTCTAAGGACAGGGTAACCAATCCTTTTGCCTTCCAGCTCTTTGCCTTCAAGAAAATTGAAGGTAGAACAGTTGATTTGTCTGCTAAGGGCCTGCTATCTGATTTGGGGTATAAATCTGGGGAAAGTTCAAGAGACGCTTAAGACTTTGCCATTTAAAACAAAATGTAGCAAAGAAAAAAACTTCTTATTACCTTATTTATGGGGACAATGTTTCTCAGCACTTCATTTGTAAAATGAAAAACAGGCATAGGACTGATGCCAAGCCTTGTCTCATTCTAGCCATAAGTAATATTGATGCAAGGATATATAAACCATATGAAAAAGTTTCTCTCATTTGTATATGTATTTCCCCAAAATCCTATAGGTCGAATAATTAAACATCAAAATTTGTAATAGATGTTATGTTGTTATGGTCAATTTTATACTACCAATAATTGTAATATGACTAATAAAATGTAATAATCTAGAATATAAAACCCTATGGTCACAGAAAAAATAATTTTAAATTTTAATTTGCATAAATATTTTTGTTACATATAAGTATGAAAGGTGATCTATAAATAACTTTAAATTTATATATATATAATATATATATAATAAAATGATATATACAAGGTATTCCTCAAAAATGTATACACACTTTATCAGTTTATAGCACAATTTTAAAAATGAAGTGTATTTTAATAAACACTGCCTTTATAATTATTTAAAGTATGTGGATACATACTATATAACACATAAAACATTAAGATCAATTCTAAGGGGGAAATGGAATAAAAATAGATGTTCAAGAAGAAAAGAACAAAATGTCTGCCTATAAAATAAAACTTGTTCAAGTATTTTTTAAATTGATGTTGACTGACATATCAATCAAAATAATATTTAGATTCCATTGGGTACACTTAAAATATTGATCTAAAAGCTCTATTTTAAAATGTCGATACTTAAAATTCACTGAAAAATAAAAGCTTTGCAATGATTTGAACCTAATGACAAAAAAAATTTAAATATAAATTTTGAAAATGTGCAAGAGGGTATATGGTTTTTCAAAATGCTCTTAGGAATTCCTGACTCCTGAAAGTATTTTTATTCTTCCAAAGTAATCATTCCTGAATAAATATTTTAATATAAATAACTGTCCTTATCTTTCCCTTTATGTTGTAGCTCAGGCTTTACTTTGATTTACTAAAAGTATGTGGTTTTGGCAAGTAATATTTTATTATCTATGAGTTTAATTTCCAGGAAATGAAAAATGGTCGATTTCAGCAGAGGAGAGCTGATCACCCTTATGTATGGACAGCATCGGTGTGACTGCTGAGTGGAAGGTATGTTTTTGGGGAGAAGGATTGGAAGTAGGAGTGTGAGAAGATGGGGCTTGGAACAGTTGAATGAAGAACACTGGGTAGTGACAGAAGTGAACACATTCCTGGTCTGTCTGGGGTATCCTTATGTCTCCATGAGCTTCCTGGGCAAGACTGGGTTCTTAGTTCTTTGATCCTGGTTAGTGGCAGAGAAGAACCTGGTTGCTAGACTTCTGTGCCATAAATGCTTATATTAATAATTTTTCAGCCTTCTCTTACTGACTTTATTAATACCAGCTTTTCATCCCAGTGAATACTCTAAGAATTTTAGGGTTTTTTAATATTTGAAATTTTTGGTTTCTTTTGCCTGATTGTTGGCTTCTTATCTGACAAGGAGACAAGGAACAAAAATGCTAGGATGATGTTCAAAATTCTCTCACGTGGCCCTGGTTAAGTAAATAAGAGTCTCTAGGCCTAAGGACAAGGTATAGAGGAATAAAGAGCAGCTCCATTGGCTAATCTACTGTGTTTAACACGAACCCCTCTCCAAAGCAACTGGGAGTATATTACCCAGAGATTTTGCTGATTTACCTTTGTTGCTACCAGTTTCCTCTTCCTTTTCTCCTGAAGGTATTTGAATATAGCCTCTTTGCCTTCAGTGCACACTTCTTTGGGGGGCTCTTCCATAGGATTGTCCATAAGCGTCAGAACATTGAGATTCACTAGACTGTCAAAATCAGCTGGAAGTTGGGTGAGCAAGTTTTTCTCAAGCAGTAATTCTCTCAAAGCTGAAACAATATTTTAAAATAATGAATTTATCTTAAAAGACAGGCAAGAATTAAAATGTGAATTCTTTAGTCCAGTCATTTGGAAAGGTTTCCTACTGTGCCATGACACAAAAAAACATCAGATTTGATGAGGCACACCAAAGTTCTCTTCTTTAAAACACCTCAAAGCTGTTGGAGTTAGTGTAAATAAGTATTAGGGACAAGAAATTAATAAACACTAAGCGGTTTTGAGGACAGGATAAAAATGTACAGTATGAAGCATTACTAACGAGCACTACTCATACCCACACCAGCCTCTAATCTTTGAATGTCTTGTGGCTAGGTAACAGCTTGCATTCGTATTTCTTCATCCTCCTTTCATTAAAGAATAGTCAGTTATCTATAAATCTGAAGATTTAGTACACTATGGGGGAAAAATTTTTTTTTTAATCTGGCCCCGGTAGGCACTCAGCAAAAAGCTTATGAATGGATATGTTTGAGTGTTTAAATATGAATCCTATATGGCTTTTCATGTCAATCATGTAGCTTCAAAAGCCCGCCCCTTGCTGATTTCACCATGGTGAGTCAGTATTTTTTTTTTTCTTCAAGTGACTTATTGACCTAATGTGAATTTACTACAGAGCCTCCAACTCCTAATTCCAACATGCACGAGGTATTTAGTACATTTTTGTTGGTGGTGCAATGACGAATTATCTTAGCAGTTGCTACTTGCTCTTCTTTTTTAAATTCCCAATAAATAATCTACCTTTGTGAGGCTCTCAGATGTACTAGTCAGGTACCTGACCTTCCCAGTGAGCTAAGCAAGGAAGTAATGAAGTAGAGCCAAGCTCTCTGAACACTGAGATTGGTCTTTAGAAAAGCAAAGAAGCTTTATCAAGGGAAATGCTGGCCTCAAACTCTACTAGGATACGAGCCTAGGAAGATTCCCCACCTTGTGCTTGGCAGATGGCAGATGGAAGCTGCTTAAGCAGATTGTGGCGGCAATCAAGAATTTCCAGGTTAGGCATTGATCCCAAGGCCACTGGCAAGTACTCCAGATGGTTGTTTTCTATATGCAGCTCTTTAAGAATCTGAAATAATATCATAATATATCATAATGATCCTTATATTGAAAAACGAATTATAGTAACTAGATTCACCTGTGAGTTCCCATGCTACTTCAGTGAGGGTTATTATGCCTTGAAATAAAGGGGGAAAACATTTAAAGGACCATCATCAAGAAGTTATTTTTTAGTTAAACTATTAGAAATGGTTCATTCACATTTACGTAGGGAAAACAGAACATGGGAACCTAGTATTTCTTTGTTTCACAATAACTTTATGAAAAAATAATTTGGATCATTTTACTACTCACATCATTTGCTCCCTTTCAATGGCTAATTATCGGTGGCAGTTGCCTCAGAAGTATAATTTCTCCAAATATCAATCCAACATTGCCCACGTGGAAGTAGTCATGTATACAGATAAGTTGACTGCGTTCCAATTCACTGGGCAAAACTTTGTATTTTACCCTGAGATTTTGGAGAGTGTGACATGATGCACAAGGCAAAAGATGATAGACAGAGTTCTATGAAAACAACATAAAGGATGGAGAATTCAGAATAGAGACCCTGTGTCATAGGTGCGCACCTGTGCTATAAATACCATTGACCATTGCTCAAGGCTAATGTAATGGCCCACACCTACTTTATCAGTATTAAGGGTGCAATACCAGCCAAAACCGTGGGCCTATGGACTGAAGGGTCCCAGGTCGGTTCTAGTCAAGGGCATGTACCTTAGTTGCGGGCACATCCCCAGTGGGGGGTGTGCAAGAGGCAGCTTATTGATGACTCTCATCTCTCATCGATGTTTCTAGCTCTCTACCTCTCTCCCTTCCTCTCTGTACAAAATCAATAAAATATATATATTTTTAAAAGGGTGCAGTACCAGAAGCATGAAAATATGACAGTTCCTTAAAGTGTGCGTATAGATAAAGACATACTGGTTTGGCTACCGGTTAATGAAGTGAACGTGTTGCTCTGCTAGGACTTAACACAGGGCCATGGTGAACCTGGTGCAACAGTGAAATAGATCACAATTTACATTCCACCACGTTAGAATGGGAAGTCTATTGCCCCATCCAAACTGCAGCTTCCAGCAGTTCATCTGTGTGATACTTTCACTTCAAAACAGGACAGCTTTTAAGGGTAACTTATGAAAAGTAGGAACGAAGTGAAAAGCAGTGTGGTTCAACTTCTTGCAATTAAAGCTTTCCAAACCACATAGTGGAAAGGCTCATGGCATGACATATCCACTAGCCAGCACGATAAATTGTTCTTTAGGTATAAATCTGGAAGGCTCAGAGTATACTAATGGCTGTTGCTAAGAGCTGAGAATCTTGTGTGGTTCATTCCACACACAGCCTGGGAAACAGAGCCATGTTTCCCTAAGGAGCCAGTCAGTGTGTACTCCTTTGCCTGCTCCTTGGGGGAGGCTTACCTGTAGTTTCCCGATGTCCTCTGGCATATAGGTGAGCTTGGCTCCCTGGTCTTGCCCAATGTATAACTTCTCTAAAGACTCTACAGAAAAGATTTCTTCTGGAAATGAAGTGAACTGATTCCCACTTAGTCCAAGAATTTTCAGTTTTGAAAGTGCACTGAAGTCTGAAGGTAACTAGAAGTATTCCAAAAAGATAAGTTTCAAGTCAAGATTCTCTTTTAAATCCCCACATGAGGATATGTTTATTGATTTTAAGGGGGGTAGGAGGAGATGGAGAGAGAGAGGGAGAGAGAGAGAGAGAGAGAGAGAGAGAGAGAGAGAGAGAGAGAGAGAGAGAGAGATGAAAAACAACATTCGTCAGTTAATTCGATCAGGGTGGAATCCACAACCTAGGTATATGCCCTGACCAGGAATCAAACCTGCAAACTTAATAGAGATTAAATCCTAGGTTCTCACCAAAACCGGTTTGGCTCAATGGATAGAGTGTCAGCTTGGGGACTGAAAGGTCCTGGGTTCGATTCCGGTCAGGGGCATGTACCTTGGTTGCGGGCATATCCCCAGTAGGGGGTGTGCAAGAGGCAGCTGATGATGACTCTCTCTCATCGATGTTTCTAATTCTCTATCTCTCTCCCTTCCTTTCTGAACAAAATCAATAAAAATATATTTTTAAATCCTAGGTTCTCTCCCTAAATCTTAGAGTTATTATCAAAACATTTATTTGTTGAAAGGCAGTTTTAAAAGTCTCTGGCAATTAGGAAAACAAAAGACCTACCCAAGATTTTTAAAACGGAGTAAAAAATAATTTTTTTTTTTTAAAGGAACTCAGACCTTGCCTGGCCTGTGTACCTCAATGGTTGAGCCTCGACCTATGAACCAGGAAATCTAGGTTAGATTCCCTGTCAGGGCAAAAGCCCTGGTTATAGGCTCAATCTCCTGTAGGGGGTGTGTAGGAGGCAGCCAATCAATTATTCTCCCTTATTCTTGATGTATCTATGACTCTCTTTCTCTCCCTTCCTTTCTGAAATCAATTATATATATATATATCCCCCCCCCCCAAACCCACACCTTTGGCCTAGAATTTTTATAATGTCTGGACAACACATTCAACTGGTGTCGATGGCCAGAAAAGATAGACCTATTATTTGGTTAGATATTGAATTCCAAGTATCCCTTTTTCTCCCTCTATAGTTGTCTTTTGCTTTTCAAATAGACCTTTTTATTTTAAATATTAAACAAAAGAAACAAATACAAGTATACCCAAATCTTTTGTTAATAAATACAATAAAATACTGCAATTAAGGTTGAGTTTCTCTACAATATCCTCATTTGCTTGACTACCTCCCTCTTCCCAGAAACAGCCATTGTTAGGAATGCAGTTTTTTCCAATCCATATTTTTTAAAAATATATTTTATTGATTTTTTACAGAGAGGAAGGGAGAGAGATAGAGAGCTAGAAACGTCGATGAGAGAGAAACATCAACCAGCTACCTCCTGCACACTCCCTACCGGGGATGTGCCCACAACCAATGTACATGCCCTTGACTGGAATTGAACCTGGGACCCTTTGGTCCGCAGACCGACGCTCTACCACTGAGCCAAACCGGCTTCGGCCCAGTCCATATTTTTATATTCTTATGACATATATAAATATATAGAAATATTACACACACACACACACACACACACACACACACACACACACCCCGAGAGGCCAGATTATTATGCATTCAGAGACCATAATAATCTGGCCACTCAGTGTATTTGTGAAGCCTGAATTGTTTGCACATAAAGTCAGCTAGGAGTCGCTAATGGTTAGACACAGAACCGCACCAACTCAGGGCAAGCAGGGCCCTGGCTGGGTGAGGGCCTAGCGACAGCCAGGCAGGGAACCGAACCGGTACCTTCCCTATCTTGTTGTCATCCAGCGCCAGGATCTCCAGGTTCCTCAGCGAGCAGATCTGCAAGGGGAAGCCTTCCATGTGGTTCTGGCTGAGGTCCAGGAAGCGCAGGTTGACCAGGCGGCGGAAGGAGCGGCGCAGCGCGCGCAGGCCGGTGTTGCACAGGTAGAGCAGGTGCAGCGAGGTCCACTTGCAGACCTGGCGCGGCACCTTCTCCAGCGGGTTCCCGCTCAGCCCCACCTCCGTCATCTCCACGAGGCTCTCCAGGGTGTGCGGGATGGAGTGCAGGCGGTTGTAGGATATGTCCAGCACCATCAGCTTGTCGCACTGGCACAGGGACTCTGGGAGCAAGTGCAGGCTGTTGTGGGCCACGTAGAGCTTCTGCAGCTGCGTCAGGTTCCCGATCTCCTCTGGAAGGGCCATGAGCCTGTTGTCGTCCAGGTCGATGATCACCAGGTTGCAGAGGACGCAGAGCTCCGGCGGGAAAACCTCAAACTGGTTCTGCTTCAGGTAGAGCTCCCTCAGCTTGGTCTGGTTCACAATTTCCATGGGCAGGGATTTCAGGTGGTTGCCGGACAGCCCGAGCAGCTCGAGGTGGTGCAGGTGTTTGCAGATCTCCTTGGGGATCTCGCCCACGTGGGTGCGGTAGAGGCGGAGCTGGCGCAGGGAGCGGATGGTGCTGAGCACCGGGATCCAGGAGGGGAGAATGGGGTTGTCGCTCAGGTCCAGGCCCTCCAGCTTGCTCAGACTTCCCAGCTGGGGGCACAGCTTGCTGAGCTTGTTGTTGTTCAGGTAGAGGATTTTGAGGTTCTTTAAGTGCTGGATGTCCTGGGGGATTTCTTCGATGCGGTTATGCTCCAAATGCACTTCTTCTAATTCTTTCAAGGCGAAGATCCCCGGGGGGATCGCAGCTAAGTTCTGATTAGAACCGTCGTAGAAAAAGATTCTTCCAGTTTTTCTGTGGATCGGATTTTGATGGGCTTTCGGTGACTGGTCTACCGATGCCATTTTACATTATTTTGACGGACAATGCAAATATTCAAAAATCTGAAATAGTGTGAAAAGAAAAAGAAAAACATCAGAGTTTACCTGCCACCAAGGTTGGTATCCTTAAAGAGAGAGAAAATTAAAATGTAGTTGATTAAATGTAGCGCTTGGCATTATGCCACAACATAAAGGGTTTTGTGATTTGTGTTGGGAGAAGGATGAAAGTGTAGAGTCTTTTTTTCTTCTAACAGGTTAACTAATATATTTTAAAATAGTCTAAATTCAGTTTTGTTTTGTTTTTTAAATGCCCATCTTGATTCTATTTCCAGGTAGACTTTAGGAAGTTGCAAAAGATCATTGGTCCTGCCGAAACCGGTTTGGCTCAGTGGATAGAGCATTGGTCTGCGGACTGAAAGGTCCCAGGTTCGATTCCGGTTAAGGGCATGTACATTGGTTGTGGGCACATCCCCGGTGGGGGGTGTGCAAGAGGCAGCTGGTTGATGTTTCTCTCTCATCGACATTTCTAGCTCTCTATCCCTCTTTCCTCCTCTCTGTAAAAAAATCAATAAAATATATTTTTTAAAAAAAAGATCATTGGTCCTACAATAAACACTGAGAGAACACTAGAAAAATTTAACATTTTAAAATATTTTATTTTTTCCTTAACACTACGAGAGAGTTGTGGATACAAAGGTCAGGAGAATTAAATTTGAGAGATGGACTAGTCCTCCCTAATAAGTAGAGAGCAGTGGGCGCTTTCATGCCTGTGGCATTTTCAAGTTTGGTGACTGACGGAGGAAGAACAAGCCATTCTCTAGGCCAGTGGTCGGCAAACCATGGCTCACGAGCCACATGCGGCTCTCGAGCCGTGGTTTGCCGCTCTGTTGACTAATGAGTTTGCTGACCACTGCTCTAGGCAAAGGTAAGGAGAAACCAGCCAAACTTTTTTGTTGTTGTTAATCTTCACCCAAGGACATTTTCCCATTAGAGAAATGGAAGGGAGAGTGGAAGGGATGGGGAGAGACAGAGTAAGAGAAACACATCTATTGGTTGGTTGCCTCCTGCACACACCCTGACCAGGTTCAGGGATGGAGCCTGCAACCCAGGTATGTGCTCTTAACTGAAATCAAAATGGGGACCCTTCAGTCTGAGGACCGAAGCTCTTATCTACTGGGCCAAACTAGCTAGGGTTTGATTGAAAACTCTTCTTTGCATTTTAATGGGCTTACATGTGCACAGGCAAATGGGCCCTGTAGTCCAATAACACTAGGACACTCATGTGCTCTAGGTTTTACCTAAATTAACCTATTTAATCCTCACCAGAACCCTAACAAGGAGGCACGATTAGAATTCCTGTTTTACAGATAAACTAAGTAACTAAAAGGGCTCTGCTTGGGATAGAATAGGACGTGGGAGCAGAACCAGAGAAGTTGACTCAACTTCATATAGGTTTTTAGCATCATTTATTCACAGGAAGCCTGGTTTTCACTAGAATAATTCTTGGGTGTAAAGTTGCAGGGTTGGTTTTTCTTTCTCAGCCTTCCAAGTCATCTGGGGGAAATGTGTGTGGACTAGCCATCCTGATTAGAGTGAACACGATGTGTCTGGGCTTCCAGACAAATGAAAGAACTTATTTCTCCTAACCTTCTTCTTGTGCCATGATGAATCCTGACTAGAAGGTCTGAATGTGTGTGTATATCTATTATCTCACCTTAATCAGATATCACATATGTGTCTGGAACCAATTTGATGGTCATCTGAAAGCTATATATGTATTTATTATATAATTAGTTGATTTAATAAAAGGAGTTTGTGGAGAACACTTTGTATTGTCTCACCATTATGCTATACCCTAAAACTAATACAAAATAATCATATCTAATAAAAGAGTAATATGCAGATTGACCATCACTCCAACACACAATATGGCTGCCCTTATGTGGTCAAAGATGGCTGCTTCCATGTGGACACAAGATGGCCACCACAAGATGGCCAGCAGGAGAGGGCAGTTGGGAGGCACCAGGCCTGCAAAGAAGGGCAGTTGAGAGGAACCAGGTCTGCAAGGAAGGGCAGTTGGAGGTGATCAACCCTGCAGGGGAGGGAAGTTAAGGGGTGACCAGATCAGCAGAAGAGGGAAGTTGGGCCGAAACCGGTTTGGCTCAGTGGTAGAGCGTCAGTCTGCGGACTGAAAGGTCCCAGATTCGATTCCGGTCAAGGGCATGTACCTTGGTTGCAGGCACATCCCAGATGGGGGGGGTGCAAGAGGCATCTGGTCAATGTTTCTCTCTCATCGACGTTTCTAGCTCTCTCTCTCCCTTCCTCTCTGTAAAATATCAAGAAAATATATTTAAAAAAAAAAAAAAGAAGAAGAGGGAAGTTGGGGGCAAACAGGCTGGCAGCGGAGCAGTTAGGTATCAATCAGGCTGGCATGGGAGTGATTAGGTGGTGATCAGACTGGCAGGCAGAAGGGGTTAGGGGCAATCAGAACGGCAGGTAGGCGAGCAGTTGGGAGCCAGCAGTCCTGGATTGTGAAAGGGATGTCCGACCAACGGTTTAGGCCTGATCCCACCGGGATTGGGTTTAAACAGGCAGTTGGGCAGTCAAGCATCCCTCGAGGGGTCCAGATTGCAGAGGGTGCAGGCTGGGCCCTCTCTCATTACATTTCTAATTAAAATCATTTTGAGATTTTGCCTAAAACTTTACCTGGGAGCTCTATTTTCTTTAATATAGATAAGCTAAAAGGAGCCTTAATTACCTAGGACTAGAAAATCATGTAACAATAACATTACTCTTTGCTTTGATAATAATTTCTGGGAAGCTATAAAAGCCCTTGAAAAAATGTTGTCTCCTTTCAGCTAATACTGAACTGAAAGTTGCATATAGATTTCAGACATCAATGGAAAACTTTTCACAAGCAAGCAACTTGAAAGTATGCTTCCATCCCCACGGTCACCAAATTATTTATCTGAAATAGCTTCTCATACTTGCTTTCTTTAAATAGATTCAAAAGTTGCATCTTATCCATTTTACAAAAGTGTTTCACCCTCAGTCCCTTCCCCCTACCATCAAATTATAGATCTAGTAACTCATTGAGCAAGCTTTTTCTGTCTCTTTTTCTTCTGTTTTTAAATTTGGGTTTTTCAAAATGTTATTTGTATCATGAGCAGGAAAGTTTGGGGCACTATTTCCCTATGAATCACTGACATATTTTCTCAACTCATCAGAAAACAAGAATGTAAAACTTTTCATGCTACATATTCTTTTAATCCATGGGCCAAAATCATTTTAAAATAACAAAACACTTGCTGAAACAGGTTTGGCTCAGTGGATAGAGCGTCGTCCTATGGACTGAAAGGTCCCAGGTTCAATTCCGGTCAAGGGCATGTACCTTGCTTGCAGTAGGGGGTGTGCAGGAGGCAGCTGATCGATGTTTATTACTCTCTATCCCTCTCTCTTCCTTCTCTGTAAAAAATCAATAAAATATATATATTTTTAAAAATAGCAAAACACTCATTTTCCACCTGCATATTCAGTACCTAAACATTCAAGCACAAACAACACCAGAGTCAGTACTTCAGATACTTGTCAGAAAAATCGAATCAGGCATTTATTTATTCTGTTCCAGTGCTTGCAGGCACCTCAGCATCTGATAGCTGCGAAAATAGCTAATGAATATGCTAAATAATCCCCCAGATCCTATGAGTTCTATTATCATATTATAAGGATACACCATGCCTAGAACCTATTACCATCCACACTAATAAAAGAGCAACATGCAAATTGACCGTACCTTTGAGACACGGTCAATCAGGAGTGAGTATGCAAATTAACCCAATAAATATGGTGGGTTAATTTGCATAAGCAGGCACCTGAGTCATCATTATGGCGACGACACAGGCACTCCACAATGCCCAGCTGCTCCAGGCCTCTGGGCAGCATGGGAAGGTGAAAAGGCAGCTAGAGCAAAGGCAATGCCAGCAGCCAGGGGAAGGAAGCCCTGTTCTTGCACGAATCTTCGTGCATAGGGTTTCTAGAAATTAAATACCAAGCAGTTGGCTTTCTGAATAGAATTACAATAAAAGAAACAATCATTTGGGAAAAGATTCTTCTGGATCATCTATAAAATTATAGTCAAAGACATATGCATTAAGTTATTTATATTAAGATATACCTGCTAAATTCTCCTACTAGAGGGTACCAGAGAAACATAAATGCTGCCTTTTATTGAAGCCAGGACTCCATATCCTCATATACTCCCTTTGGCTCCGACTTCTAGAAAGCTCAGATTCAAGTTAGACCTACTCTGGGTTCTTGACACATAAGTACCCAATGAATCCACTTAGGTTTCCTTCCAGCTAACTCAGCAACCTCTCCCTCACCTCCCTAACACTCAGTGCTTCTCAAGGGAAGGTCTTTGTCTCCCCCTGCCCCCCAACTATATCCCTCCTTTATCTGAAAATCATTCCATGAAGGGTAACGAGAAATACTCTGATGGAACTAGGTTGTATATGTGATCAGTGTTTTTTTCACCATCTGTTTAGTATGTGTTTTGACACTGCAGGCTATGTTTTTGCGTAAACACTGTTTCTGTTTCTGTTTTTGCTAAGGAGAATAGGACTGTAGGTTCTGATTGGTTAAAGCAGCCCTTTTCTGTTTATTTTGTCCTGACCCTACCTATTAGTTCCTCTCTAAAACAAGAATCCGATTCTGCATTTCTTGCTCCCTTGGAAGAACATCCCTCTCTCCAATGCAGCAGCAATTAATTAATCCCCACCTCTCTGTTCTTTATCTTCTTAACTCAAAAACACTTTAAGGGGGGCTTAGGGAAAGGCAGGTGCTGGATTGTACCTGCACTAGATTGTAAATACACTTTGGTATCTCAAGCCACCTGTCAACTTTGTTGGCAGCACATAGGGTTAGTGAACACATAATTGTCTGTTTTCTATCATCATCATGGTTAACCTGAAGAAATGCTATTTCAGGTGACGTTTAGACTCTGTGGGCACAGGGCTTCAAGAGACCTCTGCCTTGTCCAGCACAACAATGTCCTGGCAGCGGAGCACTGGTTGGACTTGCCTGGTGGGACAGCATAAGGGAGAGAGGATTCAGGCATTTTGTTTTTCATCTTTGAACTGTGCCTATAAACAGCCTGGTTTCCCTTGGAGGGTCTCTGTCTGGCTCCAGGTCCTAGTCAGGACCTTGGACTTCCTTCTCTTGAACCCATAGCAACCCCAAACAGAAAGCCTCCCATTCCCTCCTTCCTCTTCTCCCTCGGATGTCCAAGTACTAAATTCTGATTATGCCACCCTGAAACTATTTCTGGGATTCGTCCCTTTCTCTTCATTCCCCTCAAATCCAGTCTTAGCTGAGGCCTTACTATTTCTCCTGGGTTACTGCAGCTGCTTCAGACCTCATTTCCCCTGCGATGTGTCCAATCCATTCTCCAGCAGCCGTGCTCCCCAGGATGCACAGGACTCCACGTGGGCCCGTTCCGCCTGCAACCCTTCCTCTGCACTCTCCTGGGCAACCCCAAGTACCTGCAGCCTCCAGCACACAGCGAGCAGCTCCGCCCTCTAGCGGGTTCACTCCACCAGGCAGGGCTTTACCTCCTCCAGCAAGCCCTCCCAGGTGCTCCCCGACTCTCAAAGGCTGATCCACACCGGCACTTTGTGCTCCCTGAGCTCCCCGCCCTATCCGTGCTGCTGCTACCATCTATCTCCTCTGCCCTTGGCCCCCTCAGATGTGTGCACACCCTTTGGGGAGGCGACTGTGTCATAATCATCTTTGTGGTCCCGGCCCAGCCCGACAGCAGTGCCTCCTATAAACCTGGAAAACGCGTCCCTGCAAAGCTGCCGGGAGCCCGGCCACGGTGGGACATCCACCCACGGGCGTACAAGGCTATGGCGACCGTGGAGCCCGCATGGGAGGGCAGTCACACTGCCTGTCCAGACGGGGCTCCTGGCCCGTGTAAGGGCCGGGGACCCCGGTGCGGTGCAGGGCCGTGAGATCCGGGTCCCGCGGCCTTGCCCGGCACGCGCTCTCGATCCCCCGAATCGCGCAAGCGCAGTACGCTGGGACCAGGTCGCATGCGTGCGGTCGTCATGACAACGTCGTCATGACAACGTCGTCATGACAACGTCGCCGCTGCAGTCCACGCCGGGACCAGGGCGCGTGCGCGTGGTCGTCATGACAACGCCGCTGCTGCAGCCCGCGGGAGAGGGAGCAGCATGCAGCCGGGCTCGGAGAGGCCCCCCAGGCCGGCGAACCTGTACCCAACTCCGCCCCCCACCCAGTCCACTGTTCCGCTTTGGGGCCGGACCCAGACCTTCGGTAGCCATAAGAAACACGGTGTCCTTCGTCGCCCCAAACGCGCGAGGAGCATGGGAGCCCGGGCTGCGGGGTGGCAGGCTCCGCGGTGGGAGGAGGGGGTGGGAATAGGGGTGAAGGTGGGGAAGGGGTGAAGGTAAAGAAGAGGGTTTTGTGGGGGGCGGGGGTCGGCGTGGCGGGAGCGTGCCCCGGGAGCCCCAGAAGGTGGCGGGAGCTTTGGGGCACCCCCAAACACGGGCGGGAGGGAACCCCAAGTCTCTGCGGCGCGTCCGCCCTTCGCGTGACAGGTGGTCCCGAAGGCAGGTGTTCCTGGGGGCCTGCCGCCTTGCCTTTAGGGTCTCCGGGAGGGTGACGGACGCTCCTCTCGGCCCCTTTTTGTGGGAGCCCCAAGGCAGGGCCGGGAAGGGCCTCTCTCTGCGTTAGGAAGAAGCACCTGAGCTGTGTGCTGAGTCTGGAGAGGGTATGGGGCAGCTTGAGGGACTCGGTGGTGCCTCAGGTCCCTTCTGAGTGTAGATTCTCTGACAAAACTGTCTGTATTTGAAGCCATTATAAGAAATCTGGAGTTGCCTTCACCCAGGGTCGCAGGGTAGAAAAGAAACTTGGGGATCAGTTTGATTCTGTACTCTCTGCCCTTGTTAACTAACTGCATGTGTTTGGACAAAATATTTAATTTCTCTGGCATTATTTTCCTCAGCTTCCAGGCCTGCTACATACAGAGGTTAGTTCTCCTTTGATGTCACTTCTAAGGTAGTGTCTGCCCACCCTCGGGTGGGTGCTTTTGTGGACCTCGTTCTCCAAACAGCGTTTTTATTCTCTCTGGTTCCTAACTTCTGTCTCTCTCCTCTCTTTCTGCCAATTCTGTCTCCTCTTCTTCCCCACCTGACTCTGTACACACACATTCATATCTTTGGAAGAAGTGTAATTTTGGGAGAGGGGGGAGCTCTGGGGTAACTAATGCGTGATTGAAAGGTAATGATCATGCATTTATGTCTCCAAAGCTCCAGAACCTATTACCTCCAGCCTCCGGGAATTTTATTACAATCTATGTGTAGAAAAGTCACAGAAAATTAATGATTTTGTATTGCATCAACTCAAAGGAGTGGATGAAGAAATCCAAAAGCGGTAAGGAAGAAAAATAATTGATTATATCAATAATAATCTGTGCTATTCATCTGTGTGAAAATCCTGGAATACTGAGTGATTTCAAAGCCATTTGCACGTGCTTGGTAAAATGGACATATCTTTTGATTCAGAGTGGTAGATTGTCACTGTTAGTGGTTCTCAAGGTGGAGAAATCATTGATTGTCACTGTTAGTAGGTCTTGGAGGTAGTGGAGTACAGTGACTGGAAAGGACACTAGACTAGCAATCTCCAACTCTGGGTCTCCAGGTTTGTCCTTAACTCCTATTTGCTAGTAGTTATACAAATCATTGAAGTCTTTAATGTTACTATATATCAAGTGGGGATACTTTTGTGTGTGTGTGTGAGAGAGAGAGAAAAGTTGGGTTATACAGTATATATTAAAGTGCTTAGCAAAATCTGTAGAATATTTAGTAGTTTTAAGTGACTTGATGTAAATCTATATTGCTGTACATATTTGGTTCCGATTAATGCTATCCATGATGTTACTATTTACACATGAAGAATAAAATCCTCTTATTTTGTTACTGACTTTGTTTGTATTTTAACAGATCAGAAAGGATCACATTAAACCTCGCTGGTAACAATCAGTCAATGCCAGTGGAAAGAATAACAAATGAAGATTTTTTAGCTCTTTCTAAAACTTTAGAGAAGAATCCATATATTAATGGTATAGTCCATATCTATACTAATAAAAGGGTAATATGCTAATTAGACCGAACATCCAACTTTTTTCTGAACAAACCCAAAGTGTTGGGGCCCGAGGCAGAGGCAGTTAGGGGCAATCAGGCAAACAGGGGAGAGCAGGGGGTTAAGGGTAACCAGGCCAGCAGGGGAGGCTGTTGGGGGCATTAAACAGGCAGGCAGGTAAATGATTAGGAGCCAGTGGTCCAGGATTGCGAGAGGGGTGTCTGACTGCCTGTGTAGGCCGGATTCTGCAGCGCCTAAACTGGCAGTTGGACATTCCCCAAGGGGTCTCGGATTGGAGAGGCTGGGCTGAGGACCACCACCCCCCTCCCCCAATGCACTAATTTTGTGCACTGGGCCTCTAGTATTAATATAATTATGGTCTCCTTAAGAATCTTTGCTCCTGCTTTTTCAATTTTTTTAAACAAACAAAAAAAATTTAAAACAAATTTTCAAGACAGCTTTATTTTTTTTTAAATATATTTGTATATTTGATTTAAGAAAGGGAAAGAGAGAAATATCAATGATAAGAGAGAATCATTGATTGGCTGCCTCCTGCACTCCTCCTACTGGGGATTGAACCAGCAACCACAGGCATGTGCCCTTGACCAGAATTGAATCTGGAACCTTTCTGTCCAAGAGCCAACTCTCTATCCACTGAGCCAAACCGGTTAGGTTGCCCTGCTTTTATTTTCCTGCTTTATCTGTCCATTATAAGGAACATCAGCTTCTATTCCTCTGTGTTCTTCAGGTTTGGATCTTAGATATAACTTCATAAGTGATGCTGGTGCATACTATGCTGCGAAACTGCTTCAGGTATTATTTTACTACAAAACATTTTGTCTTTTTTTCTTCTTTTCTTTCAGGGGTCAGTAAAGAAACTTCCCTTTCTTTGGAATGTGCAGGGTTTGAACATGCTAAGCCTGCTAAGTTAACCCTTTATTGCAGATTCATTTTGGAGACACCCAAACTGAAATGCTGCATTATGGTTGCATTTTATGTAAGAAAGACAGTGTGGTCCACTAATCAGAGAAGCTGTACTTAAAGAAATAGGCGCTTGTCTGTACTGTCAGTTAAAAACTATTTAGAACTGTATATATATTTTTTTTAATTCCTCCCTTATATTGGCTTTTTAATTTTGTAACTACTTATCCCAACCTCTTCTTCTAAAAGCGCTTTTAATGAGTTTAAAATGATCTTAAAATTTTCAGACCCATGTTATGGCGCACAATGTAAGTGCAGAGGTGAAGATCAAAAAAATGAAGAAACCATGTTATTCTCAGCAATCACAAATAAAAATGCAACAAAATCTTCAAGACATTCTTTGTTCTATTTATAGTGAAACTAAGTCTAATGGCACACCCACAAAACACAAGTTTTGCAAAATGTCAAGTCCTGACTGTGATATATTGACAACACTTGAAATGTATTTGGTTTCAGTAGAGCTGGTTACTAGAGCTGCTGAGTCATCTTTTACAAACTTGTACACTATGGTTCAATATTCAAAGCACATTCATACTTTGAATCATTTGGTCAAAATTGAAGATAGTCCTTTTCTTTATTCTATGTTGCAATTATATTTATGTTTAAATGAGAATAGGGATTTTTTTTCCCCTTTAAGTCTAGCAAAAGAAACTAGACTTTCAGACTTTCTGGTTTATAAAGATTTTCTGTTTTATAAACAGTTACTTAAATAAAGCAGCTTATATAGTATTGATTTTTAATAACGCATGTTGAATGGCTTCTTTTCCTTACTGTAGAAACAACACAATTTCATTTACTTAAACCTTATGTTTAACGATATTGGGCCCAAAGGTGGAAAATTGATTGCTAAAGCACTACATGTAAGTAACATTGTATTTGGGAATTTTAACTTCTGATATCTTGTAACTAACAGAATCAAATGTTAATGTGAATTTATATTATTTTAATATTGTGGGGGTGTATTTTTTATTATACTTTAATTTATTAAAAGATAAGCATTATATGAGCACTTTTGAACTCCTTCTTAAAAGTAGCTTAAATATAATTTACATACATACAATTTACCCTTTTAAAGTATTCAGTGGTTTTTAAATTATAGTCACAGAGTTGTGCAACCATCACCATTATTAGTGCTTTCATAGCATTGTCACCCCTCCCCCCTCCTGTGCTCATTAGGAACCCCTGTGCCAGTAGATGGCCTGTTCTGGGCATTTCATGGATACGGAATCATTCCATATGTGGCCTTTTGTGACTGGCATAATGTTTTCAAGGTTCGTCCTTTTTATTGCCAAATAATATTGCATTGTATCGGTATATCACATTTTGTTCATCCATCTGTTAATGAACATTTGGGTTTCCACATTTTGTCTCTAATGAATTATGTTACTATGACTACTTACACATGTTTTATTTTTCATGGGTATATACCTAGGAGTGGAATTTGTGGGTCATTGGTAACTGCTTAATATTTTGAGGAACTGCCAAACTGTTTTTCCAAAGTGGCGGTCCCTTTTTACAATTTCAATACCAAGAAACGAGTTTCCCAGTTTCTCATAGCCTCACCAGCATTTGGTACTTTTTTTTTTTTTTTTTTTTTTTTTTAATTTTAGCCATCCTAGTGAGTATGAAGAGGTTTTGTGGTTGTTTTGATTTGCATTTCCCTAGTAAGCAATGATGTGGAACATCTTTACATGTGCTTTTTAGCCATTTACATATATTCTTTGGAGAAATATCTTCAAATTCTTTGCTCATTTTAAAATTGGATTATTTGTCCTTTTAAATTATAAGTGTTTTTATATATTCTGGATACAAGTCCTTTATCAAATGTGTATTTTGCAACTATTTTCTCATTCTGCAGGCTGCCTTTCACTTCCTTAATGGTGTCCTTTGAAGCACAACATTTTAAAATTTTAATAAAGTTAAGTTTATCTATTTTTCCTCTTCTTGTTTGTGCTTTTGGTATTATATCTAAGAAGGCTTTGCCTAACCCAGTCACGAAGATTTACACTTATTTTTTTCTAACGGTTTTATGTTTTAGCTTTTCATTTAGCCCTTTGATTTAGTTTGAGTTAATTTTTGTATATGATTTGAGCTAGAAGTCTAACTTCATTCTTTTACCTGTTGTCCCAATGCCATTTGTTAAGATGATTCTTTCCCCTTTTAATTTTCTTTGACACCCTTGTTGAAAACCAGTTGACTATAAATGTGAGGGTTTATTTTGTAACTCTCCATTCTATTCTTTTAATCTATATCTGCCTGTCCTTGTGCCAATCCTACACTATCACAGCTACTGTAGTGTTGTAGTAAGTTTTAAAATCAAGGGTGAGTCCTTTGTTCTTTTTTCAAGATCATGTTGGCTCTTCTGAGTTCCTTGTATTTCCATGTGAATTTTAAGATCAGTTAATCAATTTCTGCAAGAAAAGCACCTGGGATTTTGAGAGGAATTGTTTTAAATCTAAAAATCAATTTGGGGAGTATTGCCATCTTAATGATATTAAGCCTTCTGGTCCATGAATGTGGGGATATTTACTTAGGTCCTTAATTTCCTTCAGTAATGCTTTATAGTTTCCAATGTGCAAGTCTTGACCTTCTTTTGTTAAATGTATTCCTAATCTTTTATACTTTTTGATATTATTGTAAATGGAATTTTTTAATTTCATTTTTTGATTTGTCATTGCTCATATATAGAAATACAATTGATTTTTTATATAATGACCTTGTTTCCTGCAGTCTTGCTGAACTTGTTTATTAGTTCAAACAGATTTTTCCTTTTTGTGTGGCTTGAGATTTTCTACATATAATATGCAAACAGAGATGGTTTTACTTACTTCTTTTCCAATTTGGATGCCTTTTTTATTTTTTTCTTGCCTGATGGCCCTGTGTAGAACCTTCAGTACAATCCTAATATAATAAAACCCTAATATGCAAATGAAGCAAATTGTGGAACTACTGGTTGCTATGTTGTGCACTGACCACCAGGGGACACATGCTCAACATAGGAGCTACCCCAATGGTCAGAGTGCTCCCACAGGGGAGCACTACTCAGCCAGAAGCTGGGCTCATGGTTGGCGAGTGCAGCAGTAAGGAGCGAGGGGTCCCGAACTGCGAGAGGACACAGACCAGGCTGAGGGGACCCCCTCCCCCGCCCCCGTGCATGAATTTCATGCACCGGGCCTCTAGTCTACATATATAAAGCCCTAAGCAACTGTTAGGCCATTCGACAGGTTGCTATGATGCACACTGACCACCAGGCGGCAGATGCTCAACACAGGAGCTGCCCCATGATGGTCAGTGCACTCCCACGGTGAAAGCTCCACTCAATTGACCAACAGGCACTAGATGCCAGGTTTACAGCTAGCAAGCGCAGCTGCAGTGTTGCGAGCCTCTCTCACCTCTCTGGCAGTGCTATTGTAGCAGGGCAGGATGAGCGGGAGCAACGGGTAACCAGCCCAAACTTGGGTTCCTCCTCACTGCACTACTACATCCCTTGGGGGATTCCTCGGGGGATGTCGGACTGTGGGTTTCAGCCCGATCCCAGAGTCTGGCATCCTCTGAGAGGTCCCAGACTGTGAGAGGGCACAGGCCAGGCTGGGGGACCCCACTGGTGCACAAATCTATGCACTGGGCCGGTAGTGTTAAATGTGGTGAGTTTAGATTAGTTTTAAAGACAACTATTTATACTTAATATTTTCATTAAGACAGTGAAATGTCCATAACTTTCTTTGTGAAAACTATCCAAAAAGTGGAATGAGAGAAGGAATTAAACCCTGAGAATGTTTGAGAACTAGGTCTTTAAAAGCAGACTGATTGCTTAATGGGTCTCCTTTGGGGAGGGGTGACGAAATGTTTTGCAACCAGCTAGAGGTGATGACTGTGAATATACTAAAAATCAGTGAATTGTACACTTTTAAATGAATAATTTTGTGTTATATAAATTTCACCTCAATAAAAAAAATGGTATAATATTCTTAAAAGATAAATTTATAGATTTTTCCAAGGAAAAGAAAGTATTAAAAGTCTGCTTTAGCCAAAACCGGTTTGGCTCAGTGGATAGAGTGTCAGCCTGTGGATTGATAGGTCCCAGGGTTGATTCCGGTTAAGGGCATGTACCTTGGTTGCGGGCACATCCCCAGTGGGGGGTGTGCAGGAGGCAGCTGATTGATGTTTCTCTCTCATCGATGTTTCTAACTCTCTATTCCTCTCCCTTCCTTTCTGTAAAAAGTCAATAAAATATATTTTTTTAAATCTGCTTTATTTAGTGGTTATTGTTTGTCATTTGTTTCCTGGGTATTCTTTCTACTGAGCTACTATTAATCTAGATTTTATCTATTATGGGAAATTGAATGTCACCCTTAAAGACATATCCAATTTCATCTCCATGCATAATTGATGAGCCTGCAAATATAGTAAAATAGTCACCTAACTCATACTCTGAAGAAAATTCTGTGGGTTAAAAATCTAACGAAAGTTTAATTTTTTTTTTTTCTTTTCAGAAGAATACAACTCTGAAATACCTAAGAATGACGGGAAACAAGATTGAAAATAAAGGTGGAATGTGTTTTGCTGCAATGTTACGAATTAATTCATCCTTAGAGAAGTTAGATCTGGGTGACACTGATCTGGTGAGTAAATTGTTTATGAGGAAATCACTCAGATAATGGATCATTTTCCCTGGAAACCAACATAGAGACCAGCTAAATGACAGCGTTATGAATGATTAGACTTGTCCCTAATGTCTAATATTTGAGAAAAGGCTGCTTAAAAACACACACACACACACAAAAAAAAAACTAGTCATAATAGTGATTACTTAATAAATCAGATTGTTGTAAATGACATTATAGAAGAATCTCCAGTATAGTAAAAAATCTTACTAAATTTCCATCCATAACCTTTCTTAACCTGTGTGGGATTTAAAAAAAAAAAAAAAAAAAAAAGACTGTAATCATTTTAATGAAACAAATACTACTTTATTAGTATGATACAATTTTTTTTTTTTTACGTTTGAAAATATTTTGAAGTGAGTAGTTGTAGCATAAAAATCTAAAATGATGCCAAAAACTGCCCTGGGCCTTCCACTGGCCTGATGAGGTGTGTGGGGTTTGCATGTCTTCAAATTCCAGGCTTCATTTTCTGAACATGCTTTCAGACCTGGAGGCCTAATGTTGGGAACCTGTTGTACAGATTAATGAAAATTACTGGGACACTAAAACAATAAGATGGGCCAGGAGGCTCCTAGGAATAATAGGTTCTGCAGCTTTAAAAAGTAGTAGATGCCAGTATAGCTCTGGGAGAAGCATTAATTCAATATGTACCCTCTATACATAACAATCACAATCCTAGATTCCAAGGACATAAGAGTGCACGGGATGTGGTCTCTGCCTGCTTTCATAAAGCTATAATTAGTTGGGACAATATCAATGAACAAATAGAGAAAGGTGCTGGGAAGATGGCCAAGTACTGTTTATATTGGGGAGGAAGTAATTCGCATGATAGATGGTTGCCTAAGACTGAGGAAGTAATATTTAGGAGTCATGAGAGATGAGAAAAAACTGCCTTGGAGAGGTCTATGACAGAACATTCCAGGCGCGTCTATATATTGGTCCAATATATAGACTCTGCTAGTACTTCTCCGTGTGTGATGGAGGCAGTATTACTGCTACAGGTTGAGGTTATTTTAATCCTTATGCTTTCTATTTATGTCAAGGGATTATGGTTTTCCATTTACAGTAGTGACACAAAGGTATCTTTTTAAATGTATTTTTATTGATAGCATGGAAGAAGGGAGAGGGAGGGGTTAGAAACATCAATGATGAGAGAATCATTCATTGGCTCACATCCCCTACTGGGGATTGAGCCCACAACCTAGGCATATGCTCTGACCAGGAATTGAACCAGTGAACTCTTGGTTCATAGGTGGACACTCAACCACTGAGCCACCTCAGCTGGGCGTGACACAGAGTTTTCAAAAAAGTGAAAGAGTTGACTTAATGGGAAAATATTAGATAAGTGGTAAAACTGCCCAGACAGAGCGGCTCACTTGGTTGCAGTTTGATTCCAGGTCAAGACACATACCTGAGTTTTGGGTTCAGTCCCTGGTTGGGAGGAGTATGGAAGACAACTGATTGGTGTTTCTTTCTCTCCCTTCCTCTCTCTAAGCATGTCCTTGGGTGAGGAAAAGAATACTAAAACTGATGTTCAGATTGATGGTAAAATCATGAGGAAGGAACATGAATAATGAAATATGAAATACGAAGTCTGGCAGGTTTTAAGAACTGAAAAGACAGAGCCTGGCCAGGAGTTAAAAGAGTGCCTCCCGGTGAAGGTGGAGGGTTTACTAGGGGCCAGTTTCAACAAAGGTTGTGTGGGTGGTGGACGTGGGTCATGGGAAGCAGAGGGGATTTTATTATAAATGCAAGTCATGGAAAGGCCTTAAGTTGAGGGGTGACATGATCTGATTGGTGCTTTCAAAAGATCATTCTGGTTTCTCTATGGAGAATGAGAGGGTGGCAAGAGGAAACCCAGTGACCACAGAGGAAGTTACTGCAGTTGTCCACATGGGCGATGAGGACTGGGGGTAGGGTAGTGACCACAGAGGTTCCCTAATCTGAGACAGAGGTAGAATCTGTAAGACTCACTGATTAGCTGGATGGGAGGGTCAGAGGACTGGGGGAGTGAATGGAAGCGCAGGTTTTATGGTAACACAGCTGTGTAATTAGGCCCACCCAATAGGGTAGAGAGGGAGGCTTGTGGGAGCAGTGGACATGTGATCAGTAACCCTTTCCTCCCATGTACACTTAAAGCATGATGATAAAAGAATGCTGGCACAGGATAGATGTTCTCTGTCAAACAGAGCCCTAGCTGGGAGTCTCATGAATCTGAGGGCTTAGGAACAAGCCTAGAGGCAAACACCCTAGCAGATTCTTGGATCTTGAAACACTCATGCATGTTATCAATAGGTGTCAGGGCAGGGAGAAAAGAGCATAACAGTTCTATCTGAATTTGGTCAATCTATAATTCAGGAGCAGGAAATGCTTAAACATCTTTAAGCCACAATTTTGATTTATCAGATTCCAGATTACCAATCTTGGAAATATTTATTTATAGGGAGTTAATTTATATACTTTGTCAGTTTCCTTAATGAATTTACCTGTTTTTAGGGAATGCAGAGTGTGATAGCATTTGCTACAGTCCTAACTCAGAACCAGACAATTAAAGGAATAAACCTGAACCGACCTATACTGTTTGGTGAGCAGGTATGTATCCCGAATAACAGTAGTTATTACCACATGCGAATAAAATGAAGGTGCTGCTTACTGAATGTTATGTCAACATTCACAAATGCATTGTATTTCTAGAATGTAAACTACTATTTATTAAAAAATATTTTAAAGGAAAATTACTTCTTGATACGAGACTAAAATATGTTTTAGATATTGCTTATTTAGCAGCAAACATGTAATTCTTTTTCTTCTCAGAAACTCAAATTCTCAGTGAGTAAACCTGTGATAGGCAAAGTAGTTACAATCCTATCTAATAAAGAGGGGATACTGGTATGCAAATTGACCAGCATGCTGTCACAAAGATGACGGTGCCCACCTAGTCCCCTCAGCCCTGCTGGAGTCCCACAGTCCTTTCAACCCAGCCAGGGGGCAGGCAGCAGGTACGCGATGCAGCCGGACCCACCCTCAGCCCCCCAGCTGCCGGTGCAAACTTTGGATGTTGGCTGCCCAGCTGATGCCTGAGGCACAAGCAAGCCTCAGATGTTGGCTCCCTAGCTGCCTAAGGCCGGCTTGAGGCATAGGCAAGCCTCAGATGTCAGCTGCCCAGCTGACACCCGAGATGGTGAGTTGCCCAGCCACCCAGGGCTGCCAGCGGCTCAGGTATCCAGGGCAGGTCGAGGCTTGCGCTGCTGGCAGTGGCAGCAGCAGAGGTATGATAGAGGCGTTGCCTTCCCCTAATTGCCAGATTGTCTCTCGCCCCTGAGGGCTCCTGGACTGTAAGAGAGAGCAGGCCAGACTGAGGGACCCCCTCCAGTGCATGAATTTTCATGCATTAGACCTCTAATGAAAGAATAAAAGATTAAAGTTTTAAAGGCTGGATTATAAGGCAGGTGTGAACTGTTTTACTGTTTGTTTCTATTATATTGCGATAACTGAACCATTACATATTTGAAATCATGGGTAATCATGACAGAAATGTGTGTGCATAACAGTCTGGGAAGTCTGGACTTGCTCCTTTAGGTAAGCTGCATGCTGGAAACAGACAGATAAAATGTAGTTCCTACTTTTCAAGGCTTCTTGCTCCTTAAAATTCTTTTAGATAGTTTTCCTTTCTTGTCAGTTGTAAAGAGCTAGTAAACAAGAAACCATTTTATTATTGATCTAAGCCATTTTATTATTGATCTAAGCCATTTTATTATTGATTTAATATTCTGATTAACAGAATATCTACTAAAAATTTTTTCAAAGTACTTTGTCTAGTCTTTAAATTATCTATGTCATTTTCCTCATTAGTATAAGTTATTAAGAATTAACTATATATTTAAAAATATTTTTTTTTATTTCAAAGAGGAAATGAGAGGGAGAGATAGAAACATCAATGATTAAAGAAAATCATTGATCAGCTGCCTCTAGCTTGCCCCACACTGGGGATCAAGCCTTTAGCCCGGGCATCTGCCCTTACTGGGAATCGAACCGTGACCTCCTAGTTCATAGGTTGACACTCAACCACTGAGCCATTTCAGCTAGGTGAGAATTAACTATATTCTTTTTTTTTTTTTTTTGATTTTTTTTACAGAGAGGAAGAGAGAGGAACAGAGTTAGAAACATCAATGAGAATCATCGATCAGCTGCCTCTTGCACACACCCCACTGGGGTTGTGCCCGCAACCCAGGTACATGCCCTTGACCGGAATTGAACCCGGGACCTTTCAGTCTGCAGGCTGACGCTCTATCCACTGAGCCAAACCGGCCTCGGCAAGAATTAACTATATTCTTAAAGTATTTTTAATATTCGTGTTTTGCATTCTTTGTATAGATCTCTCTCTATGAATCATTTCTGCACTTTCCTGTATCAAAATTTTTGGAATTTTACATGTTAATTGCTTCATGTACATAAATACAATCTGTTCAACAAATACAGAATCCTCAAATACAAGCACCCTTCATTAAAAGACCAGCAAAGTATCTGACTCAAAGTAAGCATTCAGTGAACTGCTTCACTGGGGATTCATTCATTTGTAAACATCTGCTGGGCTGGTGTCCTCAGTGGTGAGCATCGACCTATGAACCAGAAGGAGGTCACAGTTGGATTCCCAGTTGGATCACATGTCTGGGTTGCGGGGTCCATCCCCAGTAAGAGGCAGGCAGGAGTCTGCTCATCATTTTCTCATCATTGATGTTTCTATCTCTCTCCCTCTCGTTCTCTAAAATCATTATAAATATATTTTAAAGTCACCTTTAAAAATGAACATTTGAATGCAACCCTAAACCAGGCACAACGCTGGGTGTTAGACTAAGAAGTCAAACATATACTCAGCCTTTGTCTTCAAGGAGCTTTCCATCTACATGGGATGCGATGAACAAGTTTGAAGGGTGATATGATTAGGGGATCTTGGGAGCTTGAGGAAGGGCAGCAAAATCAATACAGAGGGATGA